AATAAAAATAAGTAATTAATTATGAAGAAAAAAGGATGAATTAAGAAAGAAAAAATTAAAAATTAAGACAGCTTTAAGAAAAAAAATACCAAACGTGAAAAAAAAAAAAAAAAGAAACATAAGAGATAATGAAGAAAAATGAGAACTAAAAAGAAAAGAAAAGAAAAGAAAAAAAAACGAAAAGAAAAATAAGAATGAAATAAAACAAAGAACAAAAAACATGAATGAAGGAAATAAAGTATGAAAAAGTGAAGAAAATGTAAAAGAAAAATTCAGACTGGCGAAAAATAAGAAAGAAAGAAAGAAAGAAAGAAAAAAAAAAGAGATGTAAAAAGAAAAGTAATTTATGAAGAAAAAAAGAACAAAAACTACATAAAGAAAAAAAGTATAATAAAAATTAAGACAGAATAAAAAATGTCAAAAATAACTAAAGAAAAATAAAAATTAATAAAAAAGTAAAAGAAAAATTTAAAAGTAAAGTAAATAAATGAAGAAAAATGATAAAGAAAGATGAAAAAAAGGGAAGTAAAAGAAAAACTTAGTCTGAAGAAAAAAAAGACATAAGAAAAGCATTTGATGAAGAAACGAGTAAAAGAAAAATGAAAGAAAGTAGTAAAAGACAGAAGAAAAAGTAAAATAAAATTATGATCAAAAGAGAAACAAAATGAAAGATCATTAACTTATAAAGAAGAAAGACAAAGAACGAATAAACAAGTGAAAGAAAAAAAGAACTAAAAAAGAAGACATAAGGTAGGAAAAATGTTGACGATATTAATTGGAAGTAACTTTTGTGAATCTTTTATGCACGCTTCGTTTTTCAATAAATCAGTCACTGAAGGCAATAACCAGTGGGGCAAGGGTTTGAAATGATGACACAATCATTGAATGACTATAAGCGATTTGTTTCGGTCTTAATTTCTGGTCGTTCGCCCTTGAAAATCGAGTTACGTGAGCCCACGTAAAGGACCATGTTACAAGATGCTCTTGATAAGCACAAACATTGACCCTTTGTTTTATCGCCATATGTTTTAAGAGCCACGGGGTACGGCAGAAAAGCAAACAACATGTTGCTAACTTAGCACTAATTAATAGACATCACAAATATCGGATTACGTCCCTTTATAGACGCTCTTTCTTTCTCGAGTTCCTCCCTGTTGCTCTTTTTCAGCGGTACTTGATATTGGATCGGGTGTTGTTTTCTTTGTTTCGCGCCTGAATGATGATTTTCTTTATAGTCACTTGAACGAAAATTGACCAGAAATAATAAAGATCACAGCAACAATTACTTTGGTCAAAGTGACACCTTTTTCAAGGCTTCTTTTAACTAATTACTAATTTGAGTAATAAAACCCGAAAAAAAAGAAAGAAAGAAAAGCTGTCTATTCTTCATCAACGATACGGTTATTGAAGTGATGTTTCGGTTAAAGCTGATTGTGTTTACTTAACGCTATCATTTTTCGGCAAGGCATGAATCCACATTCCCGCATTCTCTCTGATGACTAGACATCTTTTAAAAAATATCTCCGGTGCCATACCATTATGGTTGACAAAAAGTCTGACTGATGACCATTCGGGAAAGTCATCTTGTCATAATTATTTACTATTCAGGTGGTAGTAGTAATACAAGTATACCATCGATTTTCCGTTAGGTTTGGTTCCAGAACTGTACTGGCTTACTCGCACATCTTGTTGAATTACCGGTACGATCATCAAAGTTAAGCAATGTCAATGTCTAGATGGGTGACCGCTTGGGAATACTAAATGCCGTGTACTTGGATGTGAAGGTAGTATAATGGATAATTCCTTGGAATTGTTAATTGGAAAGTCGGGTTTCTATTCGAACTCGGTTCGTTGGGAAAGGCATGGAACCATCTCTTCCCACCAGTTATGGGTTAATTAATAAGGCTTGTATCATTAAATCATTATTATCTAAAAAAAAAAAAAACTTACAATATAGATGTATTTTCTGACTTTAAAAAAAGAAAAAAGATGGTCAATATTAATAAGTTCATGAAACCTTCGATAAGCACTTTTTTTTTATAGATTCAGTGTGTTTATATATTTTAACACATCGCGACAGCTATTAGGGAGATGTGATCAAATATACTTTAATGTTTAAAAATATTCAATATTATTATTGTTTAGGTAATAATTCTACAGAGAATACTATGGACAGAACTGTAGGGTGGATAAACCGTAAAAAACGAATCAATCAATTTTGGATTATCGTTTTACCGTACTAACCGAATTCACTTAATAACACTTCAATAATACACCTCTGACCCACAAATTATTCATATCCCTCCCCCTACAGCATCATCAACCTTGAGAAACACATATTAAACTATTATTACCGTATATATTCGTGTATAAGTCTACTCCACATAGTGCGATCCCTGATTTTTTTTTGTATAAAATCTGATTTTTTCATATAACTTGTGTATAATGCGACACTAGCTTCTAAGCATAACGTCTTCCTGTTCATGTAGTGACAGAAATAAAGAATCTAGGTCACAGGAGAGAGACTAAAGGAGATTACCTGTACCGTAAAGCTTAACTAAAGGTACCGTGAGAATTTAGGCCTACCAGGGAGGTTACGGTCATCAAAAATTGCATGAATTTTAAATCCTACGGGTAAAAAAATTACCTGTGTATAGTACAACCGGTCACCATAAATGTAAGATTTTTAGCCTCTTCAAAAAAAATATTACCTATGTATAGTGCGGCCTACTATTATTTGCATAAAACAATGATCATAAAACTCGTATTATACTCGAGTGTATACGGTAAATGTAATGCCACCTGTAAGTGTCCAGAGAATTAGAAAATTAAAATGCTTGCCTGTAATCTTTTCCATTTTAAAAGAGGTGAGAGGACGGATGTTGCCGGAAAATGGTAGTGAACATGTAGTAAAATGTTGTTAAACTTGACGAGGGACTTTATTGGTGTTCATTCGTTTTTTTTTTGTTTTTTTTTTATGTATCTCCAAATCTTAAATTGGCTGGAGGTGACTAAACAAACGACATGCTTTCGATTCGTATTGTTGATGCTTTTTAGGAACTTGAAATCATACAGTTAGAAAATGAATTGTTGAAGTACACAAAAATATAAAGTGGCGTAAGACAAGGATGTTTCTTCTCACCGGACTTATTCAACGTTTACAGCATGCTGACCCTGGGAGGACTAAGAGTCCTACCAGGATTTATTATCGGTGGACATGATTTTGGAAGCATAAGATATTTAGAAGACAGAGTCTTGATAGGAGATATAGAACGGACACTGCTGGAAATCCTAAAGAATTTACTAAAATAAAGTGAGAATAAAGGACTAAACATCATTTGTAAGAAGGCATAATGTCACCAAGAGAAAAAAATGATCCGAAAAAAGATCAATGAAATACAAAATTTAAATATCAGGGAAGTATTTTAAGACGAAATGTGATTCCGAAATCCGAAGACGAATTGGATAATAAATGATATTAACAAAATACAAAAATGTAACAAAAGATAACAGAGTAATAAAAAATGAGAAACTTTCGATAGAAACAAAGAACAGAGTTCTTAACTCTTATGCAGTATCAATTCTCCTCTATGGCAATGAATATTGACCAACCTCCTTACAGATGAAGAATAAACTTGAGGCAACAGAAATGTGTTTCTACAGAGAATGCTATGGGCAGAACCGATAAGCAACGAGGAAGTTTTATGGAAAATCGGAATGAAAAATACACTTACATTTAGAATTAGAAAGGGACAGTTAGAATTTATGATATGCATAATGAGAAAAGAGGTCTTGAAGAATCTGGCACTCACAGGATGAAGTCATGAATGCAAGGGTGGGGCAGAGGTAAAAAGCGAGTAACCAAACTAGCTTATAGATGACAGAACAAGGACTAGACCAATGATGAAAAGACAAACCGTAATAAGAACTAGAAAAGACAGGAAGTTGTGGAGAGCCATGATCGCTCTATTCTATTACTATATTATATTATAGCTTGCTTAAAAAATAAAACATTTTTACGTATTTATGGTTATTTTTTAAACTTTTATCAAATACCACGTTGTTGTATATGTAGCTATGGATAATATTACACATTAATTACTATTTTTTTTTAATTAATAACTATTTGTGCTCAGTTGTTGACATTAATTGCTATCTGAAGATGTGTTAAAATTTTGAAATAATGCAATAAATAAAATTTAAATTTCCTCTCTCTGATAAATGTCGCGGCCTGTAACAAAGGACATTGTTCCATTGCAAAAGTTCTGACGAGCTACATTCCTCAGTTCCACCAGTTCAGACTTTTACAGCTAAGAGCCGCTATGTAGAATACAAGATCGAATCATCTTCATTCTTTTCACATTCTATTTGTAAAAGCTTCCACCCGGACAGCTCCTTACGCTACTTTATAGAGCATATTCCCTAAAGGATTCTTCATCAATCACAACTATTTCAATATCTTCAAGTCTCTGGTCAATCGTAATCTATTTTCAACAACTACAATCAGTAACTCTCTGCATTATGTGGCTCTTGAGCCTTGTATCGAGTGAACAACTGTAAAAACGTATTATTATGTAACAAACAAACAGAATTATTTACAGAAGTTATAAACTGCAAATATTAACCGATATTTTCTGGGGACATATATGGCCCATTAGGATCGTAAGTGTTAACAAAGAACACATTTGTAATAAAAGGAGGTGCTGAAAAGAAGCAAAAAAATTGTGATGTGAGGTACGTCGAGAACTTTTCAGCATCCATTTGTAACTATTGAAAACTGTATTTTTTTATTATACTACGGACTGAAACATAAAGTTAAAAGATTTATGGTGGGAATGTTATTCTTTTTAAGTCTTCTTCTTCTTCTTCTTCTCCTCCTCCTCCTCCTTCTTCTGCTCCTCCTCCTGCTCCTCCTTCTTCTTCTTCTTCTTCTTCTTCTTCTTCTTCTTCTTCTTCTTCTTCTTCTTCTTCTATTGTAATTTTGTTTACCTTTTTCTAGCTTACGTTCATATCACGTTGAAACTACGATTTTCGTAAGATCACTGAAGTTAAGCAACGTCGAGACCGATTAGTACCGAGGTGGGTGAACGCCTTGGAATATCAGGTCCTGTAAGCTTGTACGTGCGAATGAACTAACAGATAAATCGGAGAGCCAATTTCAAATTTCAGTCATTTCCGTTATATCTATTTACGCGTAAATACTCTTGGGAACGGTATGAATGCACTTCTGCTCCCCTGTTTATCAGTAAATCATTATTATCTCCATAAAATTCTTACAATTTATTAATATTTTCTGGCTTTAAATAACCCGCAGAAGCTTGATAGGCCATCAAAAGAAATATAAACAAATCAATCTCCTTTTCCTCTTCTACACACACACACTTATTTTTCCAATTACCAATGTCTTTTTCCTCTCTTATTTTTTTTTCTCATCTTCCAACTACTTTTGCTAATTTTGCATTTAAAACATCCGTGCTAATAATATTTCTATTTAATAATGATTGGTAATGATGATTTCCTAAGCGTAGTTTAGATGTGTCACAAGGCCGAAGTCGTGGAGCACACTGTGAGGATCGAACTCACTACTCTGTCGTAATTAATCAAGCGAGACAAGCTTGCGAATCATTACAACAGATCAAGATGTCCAAAATAATTTTCTAAGCCTAGTTTAGATGCGACACAAGGCCGGAAGCGTGGGGAACCCAATGAGGATTGAACTCATTACTCTCTCGTAATTGATCGAGCGAGTCACGCTTACTAAACACACTGAAGTGGCTCTAATAATTTGTAATGAATTTTATTGCATAATTGTAACAATCACGTAACTAGAAACATTACTACAAATTACACTATTCTTCTTCTTACCTTTTAAATCTTATTTATTATGATTGCCAACGTCCTGCAGGGACACGGCACATAGAGAAAGATTAGCAAAATTATGACTGTTACAATTAATTTTCTATTACTATAACTGTCATGGATGTTATTGTCTTTCAAGTCATTATTATATTTATTGCTTGTGTCATTATTCATAGTTTGTGTTCCAGAAGCTATTTTAGTTTTATTATAACTATTGTTATTATCATATTTTAACAGATGCTACAGTCATTAAAAAAGATTTTTCTTTTATATTGCGATGAGGTTCATCATTATCATCAACATCAAAATCATGATCGGAATCGTGGCCACCCCCATCCTTCCCTATTCAACAGACCGTATAACTGCTATGCGCAACCCCCACCAATGTCAATATCCCAAGTGTCCCAGGTAGATATATGCACGTGCACATGTACGAATAATTATCATTGAATTATTATGAATGTCTTTTTTTCCCCTCCTTCGCGTTTCAAAAGTGTCTTTCAGTTCTTTGTTATATTTTTAGATTTCAGCGTCATATATTTCTTTTGTCGTCATTTTGAAAGTGAGGTGATTTAAGCGTCGACCCCTCGTTACACTTAATCAGCAAAGTGTTTATAATTTGTGTTTCTGATTAACATGACATATTAACATGTCTCGATTCAAAATAAGCGACCTTTACTTTGAATCGAGCAAAAGATAGGAATAATATATATATATATATATATATATATATATATATATATAAATATAAAGATGTTAATGGTCAGAGTTGAATTAGAACAGGGAAGAGTAGTATTAAAAAAGTACTCAATACACATATAAAAAGACAAAAGTTTAATATGTAGAGCGTGTAAGTAAAGAAGATTAGTAAATCAGCCGATTACGTTACATTGGTTTCATCCTTTCGGTATCTTCAGGCGATTTCGTTCAATTGATTTCTTATCACTTTATTTAAAGAAAAAATAATTATGAACGTGATATTTAAAAAAAATGAATGAAGAAGAGCACGACGTTAGGTATGGTAGCAGATGAGAAGGAGAAGGAGGAGGAGGAGGAGGAGAGGAAATCAAATGTGTTGGAAATATATTGGTGGGAAATTAAATGAAATATGAATACGAAAATGAATACGTGCTTTTTATCCCACTTCAAATGAACTCAAAATGAACTTTTTAGTATATATACAACGGGTCATAATTTCCAATATCTGGTTCAAAAGGTTCAAATCAATTGAAAATCTAAAGGAAGTTAACATTAGCCGTTTCTCTGACTTTAAATTTTGGATTTAATATGACTATGAAAACAAAAACATTTTGCTTTTCATTTTTGCCTTGATAAAGTCGGAAGACGAAAGGCGTCGGCAAAAATTAAGATTTTTTCCAATTGTCATTTTTATACCAATTTGTATTATCCATAGAATTGTTCTGGGAATTTTACTCTCTCTCTCTCTATCTCTCTCTCTCTCTCTCTCTCTCTCTCTCTCTCTCTCTCTATATATATATATATATATATATATATATATATATATATATGTTTATTATTATTAGTCAAATGTACAAGAATGAAATGGCTGTCATCATGTTATAATTTGATTTAGGGAATTTAATTTCCTTTTTAAATTATTCTTTATTATGGCGGGGAGCTACAAATGGCATTATATTGTTGAAAATATTTACCTGATTAAGAAAGTCAATTTGGGATTGATCAGATATTGTTTAATTTATTACTTCATGCAATCCTCTTAATATTGCGCTATATCGTTTTTTTTGTTTTTTTTCGCAGACCTTTACTCTAAAGCACATTTCATATTTATATCTCAATAAATTACCTCCGACAGCAAGGCCTCTGATCGGGAGATTGAAGGTCTTGAGGGGCATGAAACCATTTAATTGCTGTCATTCCCAGATAGAGGCTGATAGGAAATCAACCAACCAACCAGCTTCCATGTTCATTTAATTTTAATTTTTTAAAAATGTTACTGCTACATGTTTTTATTTTAACATTTTTTTTTACTTTATAGTATTACAGTAAAGTAACCTTTGGACCACCTTGTATATCTCATATAATTACCGATACTATATGTCAGTATATTTTATCTAGGATTTTATAATGGCAGAAGCAAACATTGACATTCTGGCCGATTTGATGTATTATATTAAACTCGATCTCAAAGTTGCTCGCAGAATTCGTGAAGTGGAAAAAAATGAAAGAATATTTGATAATATTCACCACAACTGGGTAAAACATTTTACTGTTGGTGATTTTCCCTTTGAAATCAAGTCTAGAGGTAGACAACCAACAGTTGTTGTTTATGAGGCTTTAAAAACCAAGACAACTTGACTAACATTACGCGATAACGCTTGCAATTCTATTGACAAATGTTTGATTTAAAATTGAAGAATTAATGAACAAATCTAATAGCTAAATCGAGTCTTAATCCGGCTCAAAAAATCTTAAGCAATATTTCCACCATTTTTTTTATTATTATTGTAAGTTAACTTCAAACGCCTGGTGGTTGCCGGTGAGGATCAAGTATTAGCTACTCTCCTCAAGCCTAAAGTAACTTACTAATTATTCTTATTCAAACATAGAACTGTCGATTTTTTAAAGAATATTTTTTGAATATCTAATTCCTAGTTATGCTACTTGTATCCTTGTGGGTGTTCCAAGGGCGTCAACTACCATTGGGACGATGCTGTTCTCATATTCCACAGCTTTTAAACTCCCGTGCGAAGTCCTGATGTAGTTCCGTTTAAAAGCTTGATAAGTGAGAGCTTATTTAAGATTGTATTTTTAACATATTCGTATATTTGCTTTAAATATTTTGTTAAATTATTTTATAAACATAGCTTAGATGTGGCACAAAGCCGAAAGTGTGGAGCACCCAATGAGGTAAGTAAACACTATTCAATCGTAATTGATCTGGAGAGACAAGCTTGCTAACAATTTTGTGTTTCGAAATATAAAATAAACAAAATAAAATAAAATATATGAACTATTAAATAAATATATGAGCTATTATTTCAGTCAAAACAAACCGGATAAAAATTGGACCAAATATTAAATTTACCTGCTACAAATATTAAAAAGTCAGAGCGTACATACAGAAAAAAAAACCCAAACCTTTTCACAATTTCGTACCCCAAGATTGATTTTATTTTATTTAAAAAGCCATATCTCTACAAGGCGTCGACGAACAGTGCTGATTAGAGATCATTCTTTATTATCTGAGAAATGATAGACATTTTTGGGAAAGATAGTGGAGTAGATCTCTTTTGCCGTTTCCAGGGTTTGGAAGATTCTTGCCTACATCAAGGACATTTGTGTGAAAGTGAGCTCAGCAGAGGAACTCTCCGCGCCGACTTCACTCTCTACGCCGATATCCCTTAAGCTACTTGTACGTCAAATTCAAAGTTAACTGAATATATCGAGGAAAGATGGCTTTAAAAATTGACGCACACAGGACATATTGAAGTCAAGGGGGATAGAGGAAAGCTCAAACGTAACAAGGAAAGAGGGCATTAAAAAATTGACGCTCTTAGGACATATTGAAGGAAAGAGGGACAGAGGAAAGCAGCATATAACGAGGAAAAAAGCTTTAAAAATTGACACTCGGAGGGAATATTTAAGGCAAGAGCGACAGAGGGCTTTAAAAATTGACACTAACAGGACATATTTAAGGCAAACTAACAGCATATAACGAGGAAAGAGTGTTTTAAAATATTGAGGCTAACAGTATATATTTAAGGCAAAACAGTCAGAGGAAAGCAAAACATAACGAGGAGAGAGGGCTTTAAAAATTAACACTCACAGGACATATCGAAGGCAATGCGGACAGACGAAAAGAGCACACGACCAAGAAAGTGGTCTTTACAAAATTGACAATCACAGGACATATTGTAAGTAAGACAGAAAGACAGAAAGCAAAATATAACGAGGAAAGGGGCTTTAAAAATTGACACTTACATGACATATTTAAGTCAAGTGAGACACAGGAAATCATCACATAACGCTGAAAGAGGGTTTTAAAAGGACATATTCACATAATTACAGGATATTTAAATAGATGATATAATAAGGTTAATGTATTTCATTAATATTCCAACCTTGATTTGACATTCAAATTTCTTATTAAAACCACGCAGAATGGGTTTTTAAACGTTTCTTCACCTTCTCTGTCCCCGGTAGGCCTTTTCTTTCTTTTCCCGATAACAATATCCTGCGTTCTTTCTTGGATGACACAGTCGATCTACATCAT